CGCCAGGTTTGTCAAAGGGCCGGTGGTGATGACCGTAACCTTTGATCCGTTCAAGTAAGTGTTCCTGGGAGATTTCATGAGAAACTAGCATATAATTCGTCCATGAGGTAGCCTACTTTATCGCTTTCGCCATCCCATCGCTTGCTGGGCGTCGGCCATCGAGTTGGACCCTCTCATTAACAGCAGGATCGTCTAGTGTTGGTAGTCCTTCTACGCCACCCAATCCATCTTCACCATGAATTTCGGGATCATGGCGAGCTGGCCGCATCAGTGGCTTAGTTGCTCCACGGTGAGCGTGAACATCTACTGGCGCCTTGAAAGCATGCAATAGTCGGACTGCATTTGCGTGTGTATTGGTCGAAGATGCATTCCCGTGCGTCTGTCATTGTGCAGAGTGAGAGATTGCAACGGGACAGTACTAGATCGCTCACAGTGGAAACGCCCAGTAAATGGATATTCGGACAATGGACAGCCAGGAGAATCGCTATCGCATCATCATGCCCTGGGTCGCAGTCAAGCCAGACCGGGATTCTGCTATGTGTCATGGTGCCGGTCGACAGTGTTGGAAAGATGAGAGTGGCGAAGTCGAGACTTGGGAGCCCCTTTCAAATAAACCATGGCTTGAGATTTAGAAATAAATCTTGAAAAAGGATTATCACGTGACCTCCGCGTTGGGTGCTGTCGCGTTCGTTCCAGCCGTCGAACCATATTTCAAGAGTAATTGAATACAATGTTGAGCTGAGGCCTCCGCAGCCTTATATTTTGTCGAAATTCGAATGATCAATAGTAGTTGCGACGAGATGGTACAGTGGTGGTAAGAACAAAGGTGGGACCATTTTGAAACTCAGACCTGTTTTGTCCAGATCTCAGACGTTTCGCAAAGAATCGACAAGCTTACGTCTTCCAACCATCTACTGCGCTCAATTCCAATCATTCATACACGCATTACTATACTTTCCAGATGGACTTTAACTGTGCTGGTCTCGATGTAGTGTCCTCCCATCATAACAGAAGGGCAGACCTAAGCGCTTGGTACGTTCCTTCCCCGTCTTCAATTTACTTATTTAATTATAGGTATATAAATAAACGTCCATTCAGCAATACAAAACAAATATATAGCGGCTGGTCGATACATGTAACAAAGAGAGCAGCTGTATCTCTCGTTTTTAATTTTGGGAATTACTCCCTACCATAGTGTCAGCTATAATCAAGCCCATTGATTTCTGGGGGCTCCTGGATGGCATCGACGCATGTGTCTTGCAATATTTTTCCTCCTGACGATATCGTGGCTGTGGACGTGTTTGTCGAGGCTTGCGATGGGGGTAGAATGAACGCACCATATAGAACACTCGGTATCTCTTCGACAGCAGTGAGACTTTAAATATTCTCGAGAGACGAAGGTACTAGTGCTAATGATATAATTTAGATACGAGATACTTCGCCGAGCGGTATGCTCAAGTCGCTACATACCAGGATTCATTTCCACATTGGCCGTTACAAGGAAATTTGTACAACCCTAGATGCTGATGGACGTGCGCGACTGCCCGATCTTTTCTCTTGAACATCGCGCCGCATTGTTGACAGGCCCAGTCCTGACCTATCTTTTGCAATCGCTTGCTCACTTCGACTTGAGTTGGTGGGGGTACGCTGTTCGGTGAGTTTACGGCGGGGAGCATACTGGGTTGACTAGGTCCTGCAACCCCTTGTTCCCAGTAGCCTTCAGGGAACCAAGTTGGGCCGGACTCGGTCGGCGAGATACCCCCTCCTATCACACGAAGGAATCCGACATAAATGGGGTCTAATTCGTCGCTGTTTAGGTTGAAGTGTAAGCTATGCCCTAACATGACTTCCCCGGAAAGATATTTACCTAGCGGCACTAGGTGATCCTAATGGACATTGGACCGTCTCAAGATTTGGTGTTGGAAAGGAGCCATTTGTGTTGCGATTTTGGCTGTTGTTACTGTAACCGTCAAATGCCATCTTAGAGGTACAAGCTAGCACGATTGCTCGATGGCTGGACAAGGTCCCACAGAGGGGAAATTAGACGCTTCTTATACTCTTTCCATGGATATCCTTCAACCAGTTCCTACAGGCGGAAAAGAAGAGGTCTACTTGACAGGGTGTTCCAGCTTACCGACGTATTCGTGGCAAATGAGGCCGGCGCTGGTTGTTGCGTTATGCTTAAAAGGATGGTTTCTATATCTTATTCGGCCATTCCGAAATTTGAAGGGCTCAAGGTCCTGTTTCACCCCCCAGTGATCCTGAAGGAT